TATCACTTTGTCCTTCCGTCCATTAGGCTTGTAAGCCCTTAACTTAAGAGATTAAAAAAGAAGAAAAGTCTGGCATTATGAGTATATAACTTTTACTAATTCATAACTAGTCGTAGATATTGATTGAAATTTGTACAGCGATATATATTAAAAATCATCTAGAATTTCGATAGCAAAATAGTATATGTCGTGCAGTATTGGTTGATAGGTCCACAACTAATGGAAAAGTTTTACTACTTTTTTACATATAATTGATTTCCAGTTGAGAGGTAAGTTCAAGATTCGTCCTAAGGCGTATACGTTTTTATTATTTTGTTTTTCTTTCGTTATCTTTTGTTTTGAGTTCACTTATTTGCTTAAGTATGTGAAGGTTTTAGTTTACATACCTAATAGTTGAGATTAAAATCAATTTGGCCAACACTTCAGCAGGAAGGTATTGAAGTGCAAGTGTTATTCATGTAATCCTTTAAACCGGCAGTATAGTGTTAAGTTTCACAAATCCCAACTGAATGGTGTGCGGAAACTTTATTTTTTTTTTAAGTAATAAACTCTTAATAGCATAGCAATTATATATGAAATTGTGTATATAATGCGAACATTGCCAGATTGTTGAAAATTTTCAGTTAAACTTTTAATTTAAATTTTATAATACTTATGTTTGCTTTTATTTGTTTTTGTCATATGATGCTAATGTGTTTTATATAAATTATTATTATCTTTTATGAAACATATGTCAAGGTTTTCATTTTTGTATTCTTCAGTTTATGTATTTTTACGTTAAAAAGAGCATTAATTTAAGGCGCAGAATCTTTAATGATAATTATCTTTAATTATCATAAAATGGGTGGAGAACTTAAGGAACTTTTCTATATATATATATATATATATATATACATATATCAATTTTTTTTTTTTTTATCTTTTACAGCGTTCGTTGAAATTTTTAATTGTTATTGCCTCGCGGTATGTAGTTTCTCTATGTTTGGAGTAGGCGAGAAGAACACAGTTGATAATATTCACTGAAAAGCAGCAAAAAGAGGTCTTTAAATTTTTAACTAGGCGTTGTTGCAGACGGAGAAATGAATTTTTTTCCAGGAGTCCAGCAGTATAGCGAAGTGACTTCGACTCAATACAATACACAAAACATCAGAAAAGTCAAAACAAAAAAAAATAAAAAAACAGAAAAACTTTACACATATAAGGGATGAACGAAATTTAACTGGCTGCAGAAACCGGCCGGCCAACAATAATAATAGCAGCAGCAGCAGCAGCAGCAGCAGCAACAACAACAACAACAAGAACAACAAAAACAAAGTCACTTATGATTTTGTTTTCGGACCCCTTTTTCCTCTCGACTATTTTTCTTTAAATCGTAATTAAGGGGAAAATTATTTATTTATTATTTAGTTTTCTTCATAATCTCCACTTGTTCATGTTCTCAAGTAGTCTTTCCTTTCCTTTCGTTCTTTTTTCTTGCAAATTTTGTATTAATTAATAAATTTAATAAAACATAATTCTGTTTTGCTCTTTGTTTTTTTTATTTCAAGTCCACGAGAAAGCCGGCTTTCGTTGGTTATACCAAAAAAAAAAAAAAAAAATCAAATGCCATTCATTTAAAATTTTTTTCGGGGGTGTATAAAACGTAAGCTTTAAAATATGTCGCGTAACCGTATACCAAACGTTCCCAGTGTAGCTATCGTACTGATGTTCGCACTTTGGAGCTTTTGTTCGGGATGGCGGTTACTGAACTTCGTTATTCGCTTGTGTTTCGCCTGGATATTTCGTGTCCTTAGCTACAGCAAGGATATGATATATTGGTCTCTAATGCGAATTCTTCCAGTTCACATTAACATTTAAGGGTGGTTGTTGGGATAATACTTTTTTTTATAGGTGTAGAGAATTTTTGTTTTTGTTTTTGCTTTCATTATTTTTATTTTTCCGATTTCCAACTTAATGAAAAAGTATCGCGTAAATAATTTTAAGAGCGATTCACACACAACAGCAGCTCTGCTTAAATTTTTCCTTTCAACTTATCAATTACTCAGATATGAAAGAGAAAAGCTGCGCGAATTGTGAGAGAGCATTACTTATAACTATTTGCATTTGTATGCTTCTATGCAAGATGAGAATTTTTGTTTTCCTAAATTTCTTTTCAAACTTATTCCGCATTCTGACAGTTATTTTAAGTATATTTCACACCATTAATCGAAGATTTCATTGCTAAAGCAATAGAGGAAAACCTCCTTCTAAGCTAGCTCTACGTGTAAAATGTCAATCGGTTGTGAATATTTAAACGAAACTACTACTAGTATACGTACCGTCCTTTCGCCAAAATATTTTATTACTTTATTGTATTGCTAAATACAGGGATATTGATTAAACTGAATATTGAGAGTTCGTCTTTTTTGGAAAAGCATTTCATTTGCTACGGAATTTTGCGCAAAGCGAAAAAAGTTGAAAAGAGTCGGTTAACTTCAAATAACGTTAAAGGACTTTAAGTCCTTCTTCCTTCTGGATGTTGTACGTATTACACAAATTTAATATACCCTTGTAGCTGCTGTGGTGTAGGCGGCTTAGAGCAGGCCCTCTAATATCCTTTGCATGATGTTTAAAGGTCCATTTACTCGATGGTAAGTCCCTTATGGTATGTATGCATTGTGTTATGAGTTTAAATAATATTTTTCTATAATTTGACAGCACATTGTGAGTACATCTCTTAACAATTATGAAGAGTTTTTTGCTAGTTTGGTAGCATTTATATTAACATTAGAAGCATCGCGTGGGTGAATTCGGAATTATTCAATTATTAAAGTTCAAAGTAATAACTTTAAGCAATGTAAAGTTTCGAAATGTTTTGTTGACTTTCGTTTAAATGAAAAGACCTTTAAATACCTACAGTCAATTTACCTCTACCTCTACCGATGACCAAACTGACTGAATTTCTACCAGAATGAATCAATTGGATTCACAATTTTTACCGAACTGCCACAGTCAAAATGGAGACAGTACCCCAAAATTTGGCACAAACACTCATTGTCGATTAAGAAACGAAATATAAAATATGATTATGATTATGATCTGTTCGCGTGCACACACACAACAAATTAGAAATGAGACAACCTTGACAAAGCGTCGACATTCTTTTCATATATTCTTCCATAACGTTCGATCCCATGAGAAAATCGATGAAGTGTTAATCAATTTTCGAAGGTCGCGTATTCGAAGTAGTGTGCTCAAAGCCACGAATTTTATATTTGCTGACCATTTGGAAAATGCCAATATTATAGCAAATAGAAATTGAGAGGGACTTGGAGAAAAATCTTCTGGTTCTCGAATTCTATAGAAGAACTAGCCATAGGTGAAAAAAGACAAGATAAATAAAATTTTTTTTCAAATTTTGGATTTTTTTTTTGGATTTCTCCTTTTGACCATAGCTCGTCAACATGAATAGAAAACGTAGTAAACAAGCCTTAATGTTTCTATATAACACAATATATATCTATTTGAATTATAAATTGCAACCAACTTGACAACGTCGAAGCATTATGTAAGCAAGGTTTCTTATCTGGTCTCGCTATTTACGCGTTCTTATGGCAAAGCAGCCAGCATTCGTTACAAATCGGCACGAAAGTTAACTGAATCTAGTCTAGAATTTAGTATTTTTTTAATTGAAATGGGGATTTCTTTCGATCCACCCTTTTATTTAAGACAGAACGTTTGGGAATACGAGGCTTGATGACTGCATTCTTTAATGATTGATCTCAACTAAATTTGAAAATGAATATAATCTAGTGGAGATGAGTGATGGCAAAGCCCAAAAGTCTCAGCGAATTTTTTTCCAATCTTTCATAATTTGCAAGAAATAATTTTACGGAGTTTCTTTCGGCTATCTATCAAAAGACATTGATCGGCCTATAGGAAACGACTACAAAAATAGCCAAAGTTGATTTGAGGTGTTGAGTATATATAAAAAGCTTTCTAAATTGTTTGGCTTTCTAGAGAAGAAAAAATTTCCCTACAAATTTTTAATTCTCTTTTTCTCTTACATACACCGCAAGCATTTGCTATAAGTCTTACGCTCATTTCATTTCCAAGAGGATTGTAAAAAGCATGCGTGATTTTGTTGATATCCGAATGTGGATGTAAAGTTTCCAAACTAAACAAAAAATAGACGAAAAATAAAATCTATTATAGGCAAAGGGTCCACAAGAATCCACTAAAGCAGGCAGTTAAACGGGAGACAAAGGAATATAAGAAAATATTGAAGAAGAAAAAAAATTATTTATGTATATATGCATGTAAATATATCTAGTATAGTGTATGTATGTGTTTTTATGCATATGCCCAAACACATGCACTTCACATTAAAGAAGTTATCAGTTTGTAGGATATGTATATATTTCTTAGTCGAACGCCGCAGTGTATCGGGAGAGCAGTTTAGGTTTATTATTGTCAGTAAGGAAATCATCGCACATATTAAGCACATATAAGTAAATTATTTGATAGAGATTTGTGTTTGCAATCGTATATATCATGCTTATGTATTTGTAAATATATCCATTGCCATGTATATAATATATCTTAGTAAAATAAAACACATTATTGCCGGTTTGATGCCGGATATGATAAATGAAAACTGTGCTATTTTGGTTGTTTGTGCTGCTTATGTATTTATCGTTACACTTACAAGTAAGCTGCAGTTCTGTAACCTTATGTAAAATTAAAATAACATGAGACAGTTATTAAAAGAGAAAAGTAAGATAAACAGGATTAGTTGCTGTCTTGTGCTATGTTACGTAAATACTTTGTATTTCGATCTGAAAACAGCGAAATGTAAGTGACGTTGTATTTTTTTGTTTTATTATTATTTAAGAAGAAAATTCAATTTGGTTTATTAGAGTTTTTCAATGCTTGCAAGAATCTGCATATACGCATCTACCACGCTTAATATAGCAAAAGTAATAATAATCTTAATAAAAATGATAACAATAATTACTTACCTCAACACTTTCCACATCAAAGTACGATAACGTACGTTTGGTTAACTCGAACCAACGTTGCTTATAATTAACTGGCGTGAAACGTTTTTTGTTTTGCGCCCGCTTTATCATGAACCCGCTTTTGACAATGTCATATAAACGTTCAGACATTTTGTCCATTTTGCTTTGAAAACTTTTGCTCAACCTAACGGTGGCAGCAGATTTTATGCTGCCGTGTGCAGAACGATTCATTTTCCTTTTCTTTCTTTTTTTTTTTTCTCTTTATAAAACCCTTAAACCGTTAGAAACGTTTTGGAAGGATTTATGTTCACGTTTTTTACCATTACTCCGCAAATCTGCAAAAGCATCAAAAAAAACATTTTTAAAAGCGTTTAAAAATTTTATTGCAATATTTAAGCAAAGAGGAAGAAATTATATTCGAATCTTGCACAAAATCTTTTCATAGATATCACTTAACGCTATCCATTATCATTCAATATGTACAACATAGCACAGCAAATGCGTGTAAAAGGTATCATTAGTATTATCATTTTCATTTTTTTAGGCTAATAAAATAAATTCTTAGATTAAAATGAAACATATTCAACACTAGCATCATGGGCTGTCGTTTCTATTTGAGGACAGAAAATAGGATATTGAGTATAGCGTAGTTTTAATAAAGTATTGATGTCTTGAATAGATGTTGCGTTCTATAGCTGATTTCAGGATGCCCATGGGAAAAGTTGTTTCGAATACGATTCGCCAGTGGTCTTTATCTACGAATTTGTCCACAATTATTAAGTGGAAAAGAAAACCGCAATGGTATGCCCAAGGCAAAATCTCGCAAATATTTTCATATTGATTTTGTCCATATTTGTTGAATATGACGCTGTAGATTAATGGAGAAGTAGTGCTGATGATAGTATTGTAGATTTGCTTCCATAATTTGCTCTGTAACTTTCAATATATCTTTGACATTGACAACTTTTCCGCAGGCGATAGCCCGTAATTGAAAATTGCAACGCATAGTGTCTGCAAAATCCTTATGTCCATCTAACTGCACAACTTCGAAATATGTTGTGTTTAGGGTCACACTTAAGTACCACTTTAAAAGGTTTGGAGGCTTTAGAGACGGAAACACGAGTCATTGATGAGCCTGCTATGTGGGGGTTTCAAAGTTTTGTCCCACGCTCACTCCTTAGACGATTACAACTGAAAGAAATGCACTTTCCTGATAAGAACTCACGGACGGACGGAACCTTTTTACCGAACGAGGAGATCTTAAGCCCTCGGCCAGTCTACATCCCAATGGGAGATCTCGATGTTAGGTCTGGCGACCTTATAAGTTTCAGATGACACTTTTACGCAAATAATGTAATAAGTACTTTGCAGTCACACCATTAAACTAAATTTAAGATCTTCTCACTGGTCTTTCGTCTTCTCACTGATCATTTTTAATATTACACCGATTTCTCTCCTGATTTATAAGTGGATATCCATTTTAAAAAAATTGCATAGTTTACCTAAAAACAATCAAGTTGATCCTTAGAACTGTTTTGAGCGACGTGAACTTTAATGAAAAACTTTCATATATTTTTTTTTTTCTTTTTTGAGCGGTCGGTTTTTATTTACTGGTTTCCGCTACGAAATTTAGAAATATTCTCCTCATATACAGTAAACATCCGCAATTTTTAACAACCTCACAGGGTTGTATTTGTAAATAATATTACAAATATTGCAAGATGCAGAAGCAGCAAACTTCGCCGCCCGGTTAACTTACTCATTTCCTAACAAACAAGTCCCCAAAGCGTTTTAATTTCATCACCTCATGCTGCGATGGTATTCCTTAATATCTTAATTGTAGTCTAGTTCGAAATCGAGGGGTCTCGGACAGCGTTTAACACAGGCAGATCATCAATGACAAAAGCAGTTTTCAGTTTGTTTTTACGAGCAAGATGTATACCTCGACGAATAGGCCTGGCTTCGGTCGTGATAGCAAAGATACAAACTAAAATTTTTTTGCAGAGCTCTGTAAAGCCGTTAACAGAATTATGTTAGACGAAGTCTCGGAGGGATTTAACTCAAAATACAAGTAAAAGAGAATTTTTCGAGAATTTTTTTGCAAAATATTACAAAAAAAACATGACTTTATGTAAATTAATTAATATTTGAAAGGACAACACTTTTACACTATGTCATAAATGAGGTTGATAAGGCGATAGTTTGCGTAGGTACTGTGGCCAAACCATATCCTCTGAACATATAAAACTAACACATAATGAATCCTCTATGAATAGCCTTTCCAACAATGTGCAAATTATAAGAATTTTTTTATGGGACTTTGGAAATTTCCGTATTTAACATAATACAGGCTGACATATAAGCAAATTTTGAAAGGTCACTGTTGGCAAACCATGCCCTGTGAAAAATGAAACTAGCACTAGGTAGTTTATCTTAAGTTTTGCCCCGAAAATTTTTTTATCGGGCAAGTTTGCACTAAAACAGGCTTGTTATTTTACGAAAATCATAAATGGAAATGTAAAAAAAGGCGCGGAGTTTCAAAAGCCCACTCGGGATAAGGCGAATAGTCATAACTCATCCACAATAAATAATAACCATTCATCGACATATGGAAAACCTTTGCTTAATAAATTAGTTGGTGAAAGCCATCACATAGTTCCGTTAGTAAACGGCGTTAATCGTTTTACTATGTCCATAATGTAAGTTTTCGTGAGGAAGAAGTTGTAAGTCTTGGAAATTACACCAATAGAAAGAAGAATTTAAATCAGATGTTACATCTATGTGGATTATCGATAAAAAAAAGTTGAAATTCAAAACGATAACGGCTCACATTTGACTATAAAATACTCTACACAACCCTGCAATTATATTTATGACTGATGGTATGATGATGTGATATATAATTCGCTTTGTGGAAAGCGGTCAAAGAAGTAGTCCGATCAGTACCGTTTTCGTCAGCGTTTCTCCTTGTTTCTCTTACTGTTTAACTTACTGGTCGAAATTTTTAAGATATTACAATGAAGCTCGCCAGGCCGGCACGCTTTAACAGCAAATGGTTCGGATTGGACCAGCATTTCGATTACTCCCCCTAACACACCTTATTTTCAAAGGTCGTCATATAAATAACTTTGTTAAGCGAAGAGGTATGCGTTATTTAACGAGGGGCCGTGTCCTAATGCAGTGCAGTGTATTCAGTTATTTGAACTGCATTCTGATTCTGCACATTCAAGCGGACACCCTACATTGTTGAACAGTTTTGAAGTAGGCTTGCTCCCGTAAATAAAGAAAATTTATATTGTCGTTGTTAATTATTAGAGACAATAAAAAATTGGTTCTGTAGCTAAACTATAAAAAGCTTAGCTACGAAAAACCAAAACTTCAGAGAGCTTAAAGGTTGAAAGAAAAACTTTCACATTAAAACAAGCAGCAATCAGACATTGATATGTATATAACAATAGTATCCCCAGCCATCTCTCTTCTATGAAAGAATAAAACTTAAAACGACTTTGATTTCGAGATTTCGAAGAAAAAGACCTATCTTGTTACGTTGCCTCTCTATCTCAAGCTAATCTGACCTGTATAATCTAGTAGTTATTTAAAATATTATATTAAAATATCTTAAATAATTTTCTTATAAAAAACCCTTTTCAATGTTTGTAAAACAAAACGAAGTATTTCGCTGATTCGCCTTTAATTATTCAAGGTCGTCTTGTTCTTCTCCTTCTCCTTCTCCTTCTCCTTCTTCTTTTTCCTCTTTCCATTTTTCTGGGACCTAAGCATTTTTTGTTTATTTATTTATTTTTGTACCCTTTACCGAGGGATGAGAGATATATTAATTTTGTCGACAAGTTTGCAACGCGCAGAAGGAGGCCTCAGAAACTCCAAAAAGTATATATATTCTTGATCAGCATTAAATTCTAAATCGATTTAAGCATGTCTGTCCGTCCGTCTGCGTAATATCTGTTGTAAACATTCTTCTGGCCACAAGAATGGAGCTATCGGCCTGAAATTTAGAAGTTCTTGCACGCAGGTTGGTATTGAAAATGGGTCAAATCGGTCAAAGCACACGCCCGCAAGCACAATCTCTGTCTTTCGAAAGAAGTGAAAAATTGTTTTTTCGCTCATTACTCAGCATTACTGTAGCAAATAAATGTAAAAAAAATTTAACGCATATTCTACTTGCGATACTGTAGCATTTGTGTACAAAATTGAAAAAAATTGACCACGCCTATCCATTATTATAACGTATCAAAATTTAATTTTGGTTGCAATACCTTTATAACGCGCAGAAACAAACTTCAAAAACGCTACAAAGCATACAAACTCTTAACCACTTTTAAATTTAAAATGTACCTAAACACGTCCGCCTATTTTTCTGCGCATCTATCTGTTTGCGCAGCTTCGTAGTATTTGTGGGAAACATCGCCAACAAATTTTGCAAAAGAATTCGAAACTGATCTGAACTTTTCAAAGGACACGTAAAGGACAACGTGACAAAAGCTTTTCTTTTAGAAATAGAACAATTCAGCTGCGCCCACTCTATATTACAGGGCGTGGGGATTTTGTTCTTTTACTTTTTTTGCCTTTTTTTGGGGTAACGGTGCTGGGTGTAATTGATTCGGTCCCGACCAAATTTAATTTTCTTACTTGTTTATGTTTATTATGCTTTATAAAACTAGTCTTGTCTTAAGAAAGCAGTCAAAAAAAATATATAAAAAAATAAAGCAAAAATAAATAAATCACATAATTTACATATATTTCTGGTTTTCGATTTAGTGACTGCAGAGTGTTTGTTAGCATTTTTATAGCCATCAAGACGGAATATCACCGTTTGGTTAGTAACACCGAAAAAAGAATGCATTGTAGATTCTCCTTCAGATAGAAAAAGATGTTGAAAGTTGAGTGTTCATCGATTCATTTCAATCTCTTAATTCATACTTATCTACTACACATATACTTTGACATTTGTCGTTAGCTAACCTTTTCCCTATCAGTTCCGTTTTTTAGACTAACTATTGTTGTCTTACGTGACATTCTTAGCCGCCGCCAGGTCCTATAAAATTCCGAAATTCAAAAATCAAAAATTCTTAGCAAACAAGTGAAGCACCAAACAATTCGTACTTGGCTAAGTGAGAGCCGTATTCGACCCGCAAATACGCTCGAATATATCATTTTTTTCAGTTTGAAAACTCTATCAAATCTGAAATTTCTGAAATTGAAAACTTAAAATAAGATCGCGGAACATTTTGTGTACATTCATCTAAGATTCGCTTACACGTAAATTAATTTTTTTTGGTTTTCTTCTTTCTTTTCTTCTGTTTTTGTTTTGGCTTTT